CAAGAATCATATTTTTTTTTTATATAATGCGAAAATGCATTTATGTATTTAATGGTCAAGATAAGAATGAGATGGAAAGCGATGAGACGATATTTTTTCATCTCTAATGTTTTATTAAAAAACCTGCGCGTATGTGCGGGTATTGGCCTAGTTAAAGTTAAAGTTGAATCCAATATGATTCAATTTGTTAGGATTTTAATTGTTTCCGTCTTTTTCATTTGGGACTCAAACACTGCTATTATGTAAGATAATTGTGTGAATAATGCGGTTATGTGGCCCTTACTGTCCATTATTATACACGACAATGGACAGTTTCATTTAGGAATGTAAAACGAACTTTTATCCATGAAAGTCACAAGCTTTTAATTCGTAGTTTACTCTTTTTAAGGATCAAAGTTTGTGAATTTTGTAATTTGGGTTTAATTATGATTTGTAGTTTTGATATTAATAAAGTAATACAAAGTTAAGATTTAGTTTGTATAAATTCGTTTCGAGTTGAAAGTAGTTGATCTATGGATTTTGATGATAAGATCGATGAAACTAAAGCAATGGTTAGACAAGCACGCGAGATGCTTGCACCAAACTTTTTGAGAAAAAGAATCGTGATGTGAGCAGAAAAACATGCACCAAAATAAACTGCACACCCTACAATTAACCGGTAATTTTTATTAAAAACCAAAACATATTAAAACTTTAGTTTATTCTGCAACGTTACATACGAATCAAATTTTTTTACATATGAACTGAATCGAAATATAGTTTTATTCAATGTGTGAGGATAAAAACTCCCCGAGGGTTAAGGCTCCCCTCTTAGGGTTTAACTCCTCTCAGTTTGCTAAAAAAAATTAAACCTTTTAATTTGCTAAAAGTATAAATGATATATTTATATATAAAAAGAGTCATTAGTATAAAATGAGTATTCAATCATAACATTTTCTTTTATTATTGTAGTAACCATACCACCTGATGATTGTTATTAGTAATTTGCACTAAAAATCAAATCGAATTAAAACTTATATTCTTTCTGACATATAAATCAAGTTTTTCTATAGCCAACCTGAATCAAACAATAATTTTATTCAGTGAGAGATAGGCCTCCCCTACAGTTAAGACTTCCTTCTTAGAGTTTAGCTCTTCTTAATTTGCTAAAAAAACTAATTATTTTAAATGTTTTGCGTACATTTATGAGGGTTTAGCATCACATATTAATGTTTAGAATCATTTAAAAATATTAATGATATATTTATCAATCCTATGGCTAAAGCTTCCCTCTTGGGGGTTTAACTCCTCTTAATTTGCTTATTAAACAAACCATTGTTTTAAATACTAGATCCTAAGTGATTGGAAAACAGATCCAAACACTGATCTAACCGACCAAATCCGGATCTAGATGGAGAACCGACCAAACAAAAACAGGAAAGTAACAGATATACAAATCTACAAACCGGACCGACAATATTGCCGCCCAGAAAACGACTTTAAAACTGTAAAATTTTTAGAGGAATAATATTTTTTCAAAGAGAATTTGAGAGAGAGAGAATGGAAACTAATTATATATCCTAGAATATTAATCACGCGGTGCGCGAGTTTTGTTTAATAGTTTTATTAAATTTGGTATAAG